TAAGCCCCAGCTCTTTCTTTATTGTGGCTCAGTAGAAGAGGTGGCTCTGGAATGTCCATAGAGGAGAGTTTTGGTGGTGGCAGGTCTGATTGGAAGAGGTGCAAGCAAAGGTTTTACGTATGATCAGTGTTTACTTGAGGGCCCCTGGGGTGCTATTGCCTTTGGATGACCAAGGCTCACCCCATCCCCAGCACCTCTTGCTGCTCTTTCGCCCTTGCCCTCACCCCACTGGCTCAGGGGTGCTGTGCTGTTGCCCCCTAGGCTGCGCTGACCCTGCAGGATTTTGTTCACTAGCATACTCCTGCTCACCCTTCACCATCCACTCTTGTGAAACCTCTCCGGGTGGTATAGCAGTTGGGGACGTGGTCCCGGAGCCAGAACTTTGGTTGCAAAGACCTTCCTGTCTCCAGCTGTGTCCTTGGGCAAGTTGCTGAGCCACTTTTGGCGATCATTTTCCTCCTGAAAATGAAACTAATGATAGTGCCTCCTTCACAGGTAAATAGGAGTACGGAATGAATTTGCGTATATACAGCTTGTAGAGCATCTCTTTTCAGCGTTACCCAACATCCTGATTACTGATTTGCAGGGAGCGGCACTGTCTCCTCTTCGCCTTCTCTGCTCTTGCATGTGCTGCTGTCACTAACAACTATAGGGAGGAAAAACCCAGTCAAGTCCCTGAAAAGTCTCCAGTGCCACCAGAAGTGTAGATAAGATTGTTCCATGTGAAAAAGTCATTCTAAGGAGTCTGCCTTAGAAGGAGATGAGATGTGTGTTGGTTCCCACAGTGTGTTGGTTCCTACAGAGGCGGGGAAAAAAGGAGATTGGAGTTAATGACTTAAGGCCTCTTACAATGTAACATCTTCGGTGACTAAATGGGCCTTTGTCTCCTGAGGTTCTCTGTATGGGTGGGAGGGTAGCATTCAGGGGTGAAAGAGTGGAATAAGGGGAATATTGTGTAATCATCAATCGGCCTGATTTTTCTGCTCTTCCTTCCAGCCCTGTGGTGGCTCTAGACCAGCTCTAACCCCAAAGTCTCAAGTCTGATTGCCCTTCCGCGTCAACACACCAAGTGTGCATTAGCCCACCTGGAAAGTGAGACTGCTGCTTCCATCTTCTCTTAGAATTAAGCCTGATTGCATTACACACCTTAGGGCATAAGGAAAAACCGTTAACATGTAATTCTGCACTGCTTAGCGATGCCAACTTCTTCAACAGTTCTTGGACCTCATTAATTTATTTTATATTCTGCAAGTGTAGATGTGATGTATGCCACTTTATAATTTTGGGTTACCCACTCTTCTTTACATCCAGTAGGAAAACATTTAAATGCATGTTTGCCGTTATGTTTCTATTTTTCGTGATTGGTATAAAAATGAATGGCTGTAGGAATGTCATCTAGTCCATTAAGCCACGGCCTGCCTCTCTGATCCCTGAACGCTTGCTGTCAGCTCACCCAAGCTCAGCTGTACCTTTGAAGTGCAAGGCAAGCCTTTCATCTTCCATCATTTTCACTTAATGACAGCCTGGCCTTTGATCAGCTCAGTTTTCCTCTTTTTTTGGCTTCATAATAAGTCACTTGGAGCTAAGGAGAGATCTGAAGTAGGCCCAGAAACAGCCACAACGTTTCTGAGCACAATGGTTGATTGGCCTTTATATCTTAAGTAAATATACCAAAGGGAGTCAGCCCTTCCTGGCCTCTCATTGATAAAATTTGCTCACTGGGTAATGTAAACTTAAAAAGAGAGAGGTGGGGAGGATAGAAAGAAACAAATAAAAAGTAAGCAATGTCCACATCCCTCAATATTTTAGGTTAATTTGGGGAAACCCCCCTTCACACTCAGGAGTTGAGTAGAAAACTCGGCATCATGGAGATGATTTTGTTTAGGAAACACATTAAATTTTGCATGCTAATGGAATATTTGTTTTCAGGTTAAATTCTGTGACTTTTTACTTTATTATTAAGAGTCCCTTTTTTTTTTGGAGCTTGGTAAAGAAACAAAAAGTCCTTGATTGCGTATAATTTTTATACAAGGATCTTGCGATTTCCAAGTGACTTTAAAATCTGGGGAATAAATCTGCAATTGCCCCCTTCAAAAAGCAGCTTACAGATTGACCTATTCTTTGGTTATGCTGTGCACCATTATTAAGCCATTTTTTTTTTTTTAAGAAATAAATATATTTTGGCTGGGTGCGGTGGCTCACGCCTGTAATCCTAGCACTTTGGGAGGCCGAGGCGGGTGGATCACAAGGTCAAGAGATCGAGACCATCATGGTCAACATGGTGAAACCCCGTCTCTACTAAAAATACAAAAAATTAGCTGGGTATGGTGGCACGTGCCTGTAATCCCAGCTACTCAGGAGGCTGAGGCAGGAGAATTGCCTGAACCCAGGAGGCGGAGGTTGCAGTGAGCTGAGGTTGTGCCATTGCACTCCAGCCTGGGTAACAAGAGCGAAACTCTGTCTCAAAAAAAAAAAAATAAATAAAAAATATATTTTGATATTTAATTACTCTTACCCATGTATGAAATTAGCTGTTTGACTCTCCAGTAACTCTCCAATAAATATTTTAATACTCTCTCAAGATAGTCACATACTTTGAGACTTCAGTTCTAATAGCCTCTTAGTTTTTTTATTGGATAATACAAACATCTTTTAATTATTGCTTACATAAACTATAATTATTGAGTAAAATTTATCTGTAAAAGTACTCCAGAATATACTGTATACTGTGAAAAACCCACCATATCTGTATATTAGCCTGATACCAATTTAATGAAGGATGATGATTTTTTAGAATTGGTTTATTTTAATATAAGTAGACTTTTTAAAATTTATTTTTATTTTTTTCTTTTATTTCAACTGGAAGCGCTGTGGTTTGTATAATATAGGTAGATTTTATTGGAGTTAGTTTTTAAAAATCAGTATTCAGATTTTTCTTTCTGTAAGTATGCATTATTATTTGAGGTGTTTGATATTTGTTCTTCACAACTAAGACCTTAGGAAATGTCTGTTGAATGAGTGTTGATTAATCATGGATAAGCACAACCCCTGCCATTAAACAGCAGACATCTAAATTGTTTAAAGAGAATGAATATACTGAAAATTTTCTCCAATAATACAAATGGAATCTTATTAGGATATTAAAAATGTCACCTGACAGGGATTAAAATGTAAATGTGGGAGGTTAATTAGACTCTGTTAGATCAACCTGTGAAACTTAAAATACGGAGTTATGCCGCTAACTCACTTTTTCTTTTCCCTGTTACATACTGATAAGCTAGGGGAAAAGTGTAGCTTCCTGGCTCGTTCATCTCATAGTTTCTCAGTTTATACGCAGGAAGGATCAGCATTGAGAGAGTTATTAGGAAGAAGGTGAGGGTGGCCTGTTTCGGAGGGATCAGGTGAATGTGTAATACTAGCTGAAATACCAGCTTTCTGATCTTTTCTTAAAATGTCTCTTGGACCTGCCTCTTCTCCATTCTCATTGATAGGAACCTTGTTGAAGCTTCCTCACCTAACGCTTGCGTCCCTGCCCTGTCCCTGGCTCAGGTATGTGCACCCATCTGCATGGTGCGTTAGAGCACCCCTCTTAGAAGCCTCCCCGTAGCTGTGTTAATGTGTACAGTGGCTCCCTGTCAGTGTCCTGCCTCGCCAGGTCTCAGCCATTTTCCTGCGTTCAGAGCTCTTTATTGTCTGACTCACCTCTGTCTATCCAGCCTTAACTCTAAAGAAACAAACCCTTTGTTGTAGTCCCATTGCTCTCGAACACAGATGGCATCATTCCTGCTCTCTGCCTTGCCTCACACATTGTTCCTGCCTGGAATGCCCATACCCATGAAGTCCAAGTGTCCCAAATCCTGTCTGTTTTTCAAAGTCCACTCCTATTCGAGTTAGAATTACTGTCTTCCTCAGATAAAATGTGTGTGGCATCTCTCTCCTTTTTAAAATAAGGAGTGCATCTCTTTTTTATTTCAAATTAATATTTTAAAACTTTCCCCATTTTAATTCCTACTATGATAAATGTTGGGAGATTACCCTACATAAGCAAAAGCTCTTTGGGGGTCCTCAATATTTGGTTGGTAACATCTTTATTGAGATACAAATAATATACCATGCAGTTCACCCATTTCAAGAGCATCTTATTTATTTATTTATGAGCCGTAGTCTCACTCTGTCGCCAGGCTGGAGTGCAGAGGCATGATCTCAGCTCACTACAACCTCTGCTTCCTGGGTTCAAGTGATTCTCCTGCCTCAGCCTCCCGAGTAGCTGGGACTACAGGTGTGTGGCACCACACCCAGCTAATTTTTGTATTTTTAGTAGAGAAGGGGTTTCACCATGTTGGCCAGGCTGGTCTTGATCTCTTGACCTTGTGATCCACCTGCTTTGGCCTCCCAAAGTGATGGGATTGTAGGTGTGAGCCACCGCACATGGCCAGGAGCATTTAATTCATTTTGGCATTTATAATGTTCAGTCCTTACAGTTCTTTATCTCCATAACTTATCACTCCCACTAAAACTAAAATTCCTTGGGACAAAGACCAGATCTCAAACATCTGTGTGCTTTCCTTAGTTCCTGGAGTAGTCCTACAAACATCCCAGGCACAGAAATGCCTTTGAATGAATCACATCCTTTGATTTTCTTTCTGTCAGTCCTAAATTATATACATTTTTTTAGATGGGACTGGATTCAACAGTTGCCGTTTTTTTTTTGTTGTTATTGTTGTGTTTGTTTGTTTTTTTGAGACGGAGTCTCACTCTGTCAACCAGGCTGGAGTGCAGTGGCGTGATCTTGGCTCACTGCAACTTCCGCCTCCCGGGTTCAAGCTATCCTTCTGCCTCACCCTCCCAAGTAACTGGGACTACAGGCACGTGCCACCACGCCTGGCTAATTTTTATATTTTTAGTAGAGACAGGGTTTCACCATATTGGCCAGGCTGGTCTCGAGCTCATGACCTCCTGATCCACCTGCCTCGGCTTCCCAAAGTGCTGGGATTATAGGTGTGAGCCACCTTGCCCGGCCAACTATTAGCTTTTTAAATAAGGGTTCTGTGTCCATGTGTCAGTTTCTAGGGTGATGTGGCAGGGACACAAGTCCCACTTATTCTGGGATGAAGGCTGTCTCAATAACAGAGCTTGGGTGTCAGCTTTTACGAAAGGACATAGCAAAGGACAAGGACAGGGCTTATCCCTAGAGCCTGCTCTAGGGAAGGAAAAGAGGCCCTAGGGAATGAGCTGGGTCTGGGAAGTGGTCTGAAGTCTTCCAGCCTTGAGAAAATGTTTGTAAATAGTACCACAGTTAGGTGATAGGGTTAAGAGCCATAACACAGGATGCTTGTAAATGGTTTTAAACATTGAAGAGCAAAGAACACTTAACTTGCCGAGGAGCTTGAAGAAGGTGAGGCTTGCACTCTAGACCAGAACTGAAAGTGAGGGACTGTTCCCGGTAGGTGGGAGAGAAGGTAGGAGGCATTCCCTTCATGGGCAGACCATAGGAGCAGTGGAGTCTGGAGGGAGGAGGAGGGAAGAGAAAAAGAGTGGGTAGGCCTGGAGAGACAGGGTGAGATGGGCTGGCCAGGTTGAGACAGTTTATCCTTTACTCTAGCAATCCAGTCCATCAGGGACCCTGATCTCTCATGGTGGGAGGGGCGGTGGCCACATTGGAAGACTTTCTTTCTGCCCCAGGGGTGAGGTGATGTGAGAAGGAAGAATTGAAAGGATGCAGTTTGAGCTAATAGCTTTTATTTGCCAGAACTATGCAGGTCCCTTATTCAACAAACATTTGCTAAGCACCTGCTTTATTCCAGGCAGAGTTTAAGCTACTCCTGATTGTACTGTCTTTCTTCAGTGTCTTTTGTATGAAAATGTGTCCCCGGTTGGACTTGTGCTGAACTGTATTTGGGTACCCTGTGTTTAATCCAGCTTAGCTCTGCACTCTCAAATTGCAAATAAAAGGTGCTTAATAAATGAGTATGGGAAATAAAAATAATAGAAAAACAAAACCCAAACAAACAAAAAAATGAGTATGGGATTGAGTGACAGTGACAGGATTCACACCCCCAAACTATTACTATAAAGGGGGGGGAGTTACTTGTTTATAATGGGGTAGTCTGTGTGCACCACAGTCTCGGCTTCCCCAGTGATGGGTCGGACTGGCGCCAGGTCCTTCTGGTGCGGTGCGGTACGGTGCAGTGCACACTGTCACCTGGGTAGTGTTCTTGCCAAAAAGATTTAACTCAGATCTAATCATAAGGAAATGATCAGGCCTCCAAAATTTGTAGGGACAGCTCATTGGTCTGTATTATTTAAAAACATCAATGCCATGAAAGAGAAAAGAATTCCTTTAGATGAAAGGAGATTAAAGAGACATGACAACTTCACTGAGCAGCATAAGACCCTTAATTAATCAAGTCCTCCCCCAACCCTGCCTGCCACCAGAAAAGAAACAGATCAGTTGGGGAGTTTGGAATGTGGACTGGACATTAGATAAGACAGTATGTCAACTTCACCTTTGTTGGGTGTGAAAATGGTATTGTGGTCCTGAAGGAGAGTGTCCCTGTTCTTAAGTATTTATAGGTAAAGTAAGATTTCTTCCACTTATTAATACTTTCAAAAATTATAGCAAGAAAATGTGTATGCCTGTAGCTAAAACAAACTGACAAGAATGCTTATGATAGGTGAGTCAGGGTAAAGAGAATGGGATGTTTTTGTTCTCATTCAACTTTTTGGGTAGCTTTAAAATGTTTTGAAATTAGAAGTTGGAAAAAATAAAATGATTTCCTTGGGCACCTAGCTCTTTCAGCAGTAAGGTTTCCTGACGCTGACTCTGAGTTACTCGCTTTACCCCTCTGCAGGGTTGTCAGGCTCTCGAATGGCGTGCCTGTGCCCAAGTCCCTAATGCCGCTTCTACTGTGTCAGGACTGGGACATCTTTGAGCTTTGCGTCTTACTTTAATTCTTGGAAAATTCATTCTGTGACTTCTGAAACCGGCATATTTAGCAATAATAAGGAATATAGTGAGTTAATGAATCTCCCTGTGATACACGAATGGCTGACTGAGACATCTGACTTGGGGAGTGTGTCCCATTCCAGCTTCCTGTCCACTGCAGCTCTGTGGGGGGCTTGGAGCTGATAATGAGATTTCACATTTAGAATCGGGGGGCCTATACATAACCTTCCTTCAGCACTCTGTATGCCAGTGAGAAATTTGAACTGGTTTCCAGACCACCATCTTATTCCCTGGGGTCCGTGCTGGAACCTACTGCGGAGAGCAAGGTCACCTATTTGGTGGTAGCACACACGATGGTATTGCTGAGAAACGAGTGGTTTTTGAGTTGGAGCCAGCAGCATATGTCACATAGGATGCTTCCAGGCAGCTGAGCCCAGGTAGAGGCCGACAAGGGCACTAAGTTGGGTTTTGAAAGTGCAGATGAGTATGCATTGGTAGAGAGGGCTTCTGAACACACTCAAGGGAGAGAAAAAGGTGCATGGAAGGAAGCCTGTAAGTCGAGAGTGTGTGTGGGGAGGAGGCAGCACCGTGCCGAGTATCTTGTTTAATCATTGACATCATCTGAGCCTGTGTGTGGGTTCACGTTGCCATTTTCACACATGTGGAAACAGTCATGGAAAGGCAGCTGCCCCAAGATCACGTAGCCGGCTCCTGGTGGAGCAGACTGGAGCTGCCCACTGACCCATGCTCTTGGGCACTGTGTCTGCTGACCCCTTCCAGTGGTTGGTGCTGACAGTATTTGTGGAGAGGGCCTCTCATGAGTAGCAAGGACAACAGTTAGACGTTTCCTTTATTCAGCCATCTTATCCTTCGAATGGGAATTGCACCAACAGATGGAATCCAACAAACAGTACAATAAATAAATTGCCTGTTCTGGGCTGGGACCTTTCTATAAATTCATTGATTCTCATAGAAATCCCTCACTGAAGTTGAATAGAGGCTCAAGAGAGAGGAAGAGACTGCTAAGATCATACATTTTTCTGACTCCAAAGTCCACTTTCTGCTGTTTCTCTCTCTGGGCCAGAGTGGTCAGGGATACAGAAATGAAAGAGCTGCTCCATGTCTTCCAGAACAGTACCCAGGACCACGTGCGAGGTATTACAGAGAAGAGCAGCAGGTGGTGAATTCTTCATTAGGCAGCCTGTGGGCAGTGCCATTTGAGAGGCTTGGAGTGTTATGGGAGATCAGCAGAGGGAGAGTTAAGTTTTCCGTTCTCTCTTTGCACTTCCAAGATTGTGTCTCTTTTCTTCCTCCAATGGTCAGTGACTGATTCCAAGACTCAACCATTTCGGGGCCTGTGGCAAAGTTGTACCCTCCACAATTCCCTCCAATTAAACAATGTTTTGAAAATGCGGATACTAGCATATGACCTTCAGTGCTTAACCTGTCACATGTCACCGGGCTTGCAGACAGAAATTTTTTGAGTATTTTTACCAAAACACTTATATTTTGAAGAGGTCATACCGTTTCCAGCTTAATCTCTCTGTTTCGTGGCAACCAGAGTCCCTCTGGAGGCTTGGCTCAACTGCTGAAGAGGTTGGAACAAGCCTCTTTTTTTTGCTTACCCTCATCCAGCTACTCCTTCTAAACATTTATAAGCTCTACCAGGGAGGAAATTGAGCCCCTAGCAAAGTACCTGATTCCAATACCATCTGCTAACAATTTACCTTCAAACTCTCCTCCTTCTCATTAACAGTAAAATGTTACAAAAGTAGATTTGAAAGTAAATACAGTGCAGAATTTCTGCCAGGATTTAAGAGCCTTTTCCATTAAGGAGGCCTCTGCACTTGGTGTTAAATGTTCTGGGCTGGCTTTGTCTCCTTGGGGTTCACCAGTGATGTGTCAGGGCCATGTCAGCACATGTGACCCTTTGGGCAACTATTGTAATATTCAGGCATATGCCAGTCCTTAGCCTGCATGAGCCCAGCAACAGCAGAGCTCATGCCCTAAGTGGGACTGCACTTCCCTAGTTTACTCAAAAGCCTCTGAGGCTGCCTGAGAGCCACAGTCCAGGGAATGGAGGACCAAGAATAGAAGGTAGGTGTCATTACTAAATCTGCATCAGGAAACCAGAGAAGTGAATGAGTATTTGATCTTTTTTGTTTGTTTTGTGTTTGATCTTTTTGAATCTTACTTATAATGGACAAAGCTAAAACCCAACCTCAAATCTAGATGTGCTAATCTTCAGACTGTTTGTGTTACGTTACACACCTGAGTTTTCTTCAAGCTGAAATGATACGTATGTAAGACATTAGTTTGACCTCCTCTTACTCAGTGTTAATTCCACCCGGGCTGCAGTATTACATAATCTGTCATGATACAGTTCAGTTGTAAACGAAATCCAGTAGGGTAAATGAGACAGGAGGGACTCTTCTTAGCCCTGAAGACAACAAAATTATTTTAAGCAGTATAGAACTTGCTGATTAAATGAATAACAATGTGCGGATGTGATAGCAATTTTTAATTTAAAGAATTTTTAGTGCTTTTTGATGTTCAGAGTAACTTCAGTTTATTAAAAAACACTTCAGTGTGTATTAACAATGGCTGCTGAGAATTAGAGACATAATTTCTTTGGGATTCTTTTCTCTTTTCCTTTCAGCCCCTGTAGAGTTACAGCTATTAATATTTAAAAGCAGAGGGGCTAGCAGACACCATCCCTCCTGCACCAGCATCATCAGTACTGTCTGGGAGCAGGTCCCACCCTGGACCCACTGTCTCCCTTTCCAGAGGAGGTCCCTGCCTGGTTTGTGAACACAAACCTAGTCCTTCTCACTTAACAGGCAAGCCGAAGAGTTCCTGGGAGGTCAAGGATCCTCTGGCTACTGCATGGCAGACGATCAGAGGGCCAGATTGCAGTTGGCTCTGGGGACATCCCATCACCCACACTTTCCAGGCTGAGCCCTGGTCTCTTGTGTGTGTGGGTGCAGTGCAGCATGTACCTGTATACTTCCCCAGTGCCCAGCCAGGAAACACATTCTCTTCCATTGTCAGCCCATGTGTTTCCTCCTGTGCTCGGGGTTCTAGTCTGGAAGCAGCATCTGCACGTTCAGTTGCTTTCATTTCAATCAGTCCCACTATGTTAGGTGAGACAGGTAGACGGGCTGGTGGCAGCTGTTCACCCTTGGTGTCAGAACCAGGTTTCAGTCCTGTCCTCTCTTCCTTCCTCTCTGGATTAGTTTCCTGGAGCTGCCAGAATAAAATTTCACAGACTAGGTGGTATAAACAACAGAAATGTATTGACTCATTGGTCCTGGAGGCTGGAAGTCGGAGACCAAAGAGTCAGCGGGCTTATTCTGGGGCAGGCTCTTGTTGGCTTGCAGATGGCCGCCTTCTCTTCCCCCATGTCCTTGCATGGTGGCCCCTCTGTAGTGTGTCTTTGTGCTAATCTCTTGTTAGAGGGACAACACTCAGATGGGATTAATGACCTCATTTTACCTAAATTACCTCTTTAAAGTCTCTGTCTTCAAATACAGTCATGTTCTTTAAGGTACCGAGGTTTAGGACTTTAACATGTTAATTCCGGGGGTGGGCATCGTTCAGCCAATAGGGCTCCCCTTCCTCCTGTGGCCTCCCCCTCTCTTCTCTGCCTTCCTCCCTCCTCAGCTGTCTTCCTCCCACTTATTTCCCTCTACCAGTGAAAAGCATCCTGCACCCCTAGAAAGCTCATGAAAGTTGGGGAGCCTAAAGCCCAGATTTCTACTTCCAGTACTTCTGTTAATCAGCTTTGCAACCTTGAGAAACCCTTGATTCTTGAAACACTAGTTTATTCAGCTGCAAGGTGGGAGCTCTTCTTCCCCTCCTCCCTCACAAGGCTGTATTAAGGAAAAATTAGAATAACAGATTTTTTTTTTTTTTTTTTTTTGAGAAAGAGTCTCGCTCTGTTGCCAGGCTGGAGTGCAGTGGCACGATCTCGGATCACTGCAACCTCCGCCTCCCGGATTCAAGCAATTCTGCCTCAGCCTCTCAAGTAGCTGGGGCTATAGGCGTGAGCCACTATGCCCAGCTCAGTTTTGTATTTTTAGTAGAGATGGGGTTTCACCATGTTGGCCAGGATGGTCTTGATCTCTTGACCTTGTGATCCACCTGCCTCAGCTTCCCAAAGTGCTGGGATTACAGATGTGAGCCACCACGCCCGGCCACAGATCATTTTTTAATATGCTTCTAAAATAAAATACACTAATGTAAGATCCAGTAAGCCTTCTACAAAGTATAGTGTGTATGATTTAGATTCCTTGAAATTCTAGTGAAGAAGGCATATTTAACTTCTACCAGTTTTATTGTGCTTTTATTATCCTTAACTATATTATTAGCAGTACAAGATAGAGGCTGTACTCTCTCAACACAATCTCATCTTTGCTCTTAAAAAAAAGAGTAGAACTGCTCACACCAAGCCCAGTCTGGGGTGTGGACCCTGCACAGCCCCTCCCAGCCCACTAGGTGGGAGGCCAGGTCGGGCTCTGCACAGTTGGAACTGAGCCTGGGGCTGCCTGGAGCATTATAGCGTGAGAGGTGCTTTGTGTTGCCACCCAAGGGCTGGGGGAATTGCAGGCGATCATTGCCCTTGGGCAGACCGCACGTCAAGGCTCTTATCTGCTGGCTTGAGTTGCAGCAGGCCTCCTATTAAAAAAAGAAAAAAGTGAACCAGAAGGGGGCTAGCCACAAGTTAAACGATTTGAAGGAGATTGACTTCACAGTCTCTTCTCCCCAGCGGCTTGATTGTGAGACAAAGAAGTATTTATTATTTGAGAGAAAATGAGTAAGCCCTGGCTGCCAGCGCTTCTGCCCTACATAGTGACGAGACGGTGAGATGGAGAGGGGCATGGAATGTGGGAGCAGGGTCCTCTTACCAGGGTGCTCTCTCTCCAGGACAAAATGTCAGTTGGTTGCCATGGGCTGTGGTCAGCCTGAAGGAGACACATCAGCACACCACGGCTGGCTTGGCCGTCTGAGCTGTGGTTTTGCTTCTTTGATTTAGGTTCAAACGTGATAAGGGGGCTGGGAAGGGGGCTGAACAGAAAGCCTTAGACACAGCAGAGATTTAAATTGTGGACTTAAACTCTCTGTTGGTCAAGGTATAGAGATCTTTTTCAGAAATCTGTCCTTAAAAGTTATAGGAAAGCTGGGCTTGGTGGCTCATGCCTGTAATCCCAGCACTTTGGGAGGCTGAGTTGGATGGATCATGAGGTCAGGAGTTCGACTTCAAGACCAGCCTGGCCAACATGATGAAACCCCATCTCTACTAAAAATACAAAAATTAGCCGTCACAGTGGCAGGTGCTTGTAATCCCAGCTACTCGAGAGACGGAGGCAGGAGAATCACTTGAACCAGGGGCGGTGCGCGGAGGTTACAGTGAGCTGAGATTGTGCCGCTGCACTCCAGCCTGGGTGACAGTAAGACACTGTCTCAAAAAAAAAAAAAAAAAAAAGTTACAGCAAGATACATTTGAAAATAGTTTACCCTCTCTTTCTCCATAAAGACATTGTCATTTCACCCTGTGCTGTTGGTTTAATCTCCAGAAAATGCCCATAAATACTATTATTTTGCATAATTGCTCTGAGCCATGCCGTCACCTCCTATGCATCCCACACCCTGGCCGGGTGATCAGCCGGCACAGTTGGTGAGGGACCGTGTGGCTGACACCTGGGTTCCCATGCTAGCGCAGCCTTATCCCTGGGAGAATGCCTTAATCCCCCTGAAACCCAATCACTCACCCAATCTCTGTGTTGAAGGTCATGGCCTTGATTGTTCTGTTGTATGAAAATCAGATCTGCATTGAGTGGACCAGATTTTATTTGTCTCAGGTTTCAGCCAGCTACAACTTTCTTGTAGTATTCGAATAAATGAATGGAGCTGGAACTTTGAGAACTAGAAGAGTCCTTGAGTTTTAATGAACTCTCCCTTAATCATGAGATGCCAATAATTAGCTAATCTCAAAAGAAAATTTTGTTAGTTGATTACTTTGTTGAATCTGCTTTTTCTACCGCTATGTATATAGTGTGTTCTGTAAAAGTTTGGAAAGTGTTTATTAATCAGCAGTAAAGGAAGCTTAACTTTAGAAGATAAATCTGTTATGTAAGATGCAGTTCATTAGAGCCAGAAGTAGGCTGTCAAGATGATCTAATCAAACCACTTAATTCTATGAGTAAAGAAACGGAGTTTATGCCAGGCAAAGTGGCTCACACCTGTAATCCCAGCACTTTGGGAGGCAAAGGTGGGTAAATCACTTGAGGTCAGGAATTCTAGACTACCCTGGCCAACATGGTGAAACCCCATCTCTACTAAAAAATAAAATAAAAAATTAGCCGGGCATGGTAGCGTGTGCCTGTATCCCAGCTACACTCAGGAGGCTGAAGCAGGAGAATCACTTGAACTTGGGAGGCGGAGGTTGTAGTGTGCCAAGATCTCGCCACTGCACTCCAGTCTGGGCAACAGAGCTAGACTGTTTCCAAAAAAAAAAAAAAAAAAAAAAGAAAGAAAGAAAAAGAAATGGAAGTGGAGATTGAAGAGACCATTGCTATTTTGAAGCCTTTGCAGTTAGATTCTGTGTGAATCATTATTTTATGCCCCACTAAAAATAAGCAATCTTGGCTGTTAATATATGCCAATTATTTGTAAGATAAATTTCAGTCTTAGCAATATTAAAATATAGGAAATAGAATCTTTGAGATACGGTAATAACAAGGTTACACCATGGGTTACATTCTCCATGGTTCCTCCCTGTCGTCGTCCCCTCTTTCAACTTTGCCTTTTCAAGCAGAATTTTCTTGTGATATTTTATCAAAATCATCATGTAGCACAGCACAAAGCGAGGTGATTCTCTTTTTTCCTTTCTCTCTGTTAAACGTTTTTGCCATTGAAATAAACAGGCTGATTCTCATGAAATCTTAGGCCAAAATCTTTGCTTATCTTTTTCAGGGAAATTTGAAGGAATATTTTTGATCCACATATTAGAACTGCCACCATGACAAAAAAAAAAAAACTGCAGAAGTTAATTTTGTATATATTAGGCATTTTTCTTCATTTTTTCTAGGCAATTT